CACTGAAAAATAATTAAAATGATTAGGTAAATAGATATAAACTGACATTTTGATATTTTCTTTTTCGTGCTCACTTTGGCTATATAAGAACTAGAATAGGTCTGTCGCGTGCTTCTGTGAGTTTAGGCAGAACCTTCTCCTATGAGTAGTAGCAGGATTTTATGGGTTCCCAGAGTAACGACAAGAATGCTTAGCCCAGGAGGAAGTCTAGTGTCGGCTGTGTGTGCGAGCTTAGTTTCATGAGGCTGACTGCCTGACACCATCCTTTAGAAGTTTAGAGGAATGCCTAGCTTTCTGTGAAATTGGGCAATGTCTTGTCACTACTAGAAGAGGCGCGAGAAGGTCATGGTAACCTTTCAACTGAGGATGTCTGAGATTTTATATGCTGCGAGTTTAAACTTCTTACTACTGCTTTTCGTGGAAGAGGTTCTTCGGAGACGGGCTTTCTGTTCCAGACCAGGAACTAGCTGTGTGTCGTTAGACGGGTCTCCCAACCTCTCTGAGCCTTAGTGTCTTCATCTGTAAAATAGGGCTAGAAATCATTACCAGATGGAACTGGTGCTACGATTAAATTGGATAATGCTGTCGCAATGCTTGTGGGGTGGGCTGGCTTTGCCTAGTCTGTAGCTCACCATGACCTTCAGTTGCTATGCTCCTGAGATTTTGTTTGTCCATCGTTCATTTTCAGGCCTGCATTTCATTTATTTTTTTAAATGTAATGTTCAGTTTTTAGTAAGTGTGAATATACACATAGTCTAAAAAACTATTATACTGTCAGCTTTAAAATGAAGAAACAGCGGTTTCCTTCTCGCCTATTTCCGCTCTAATTCCTGCTCCCTAGAGGCAAACATCTTGTAATTCTTGAGTTTTTTTTTTCTTTTCTTTTCTGAAGTGTATCCCTTTATTTGAAAATAATAACTAGTGCTACAATTTCTTATTTATTTCTAGATCATCTTTTCATTCTCACTGTGGAATATGAGGATTTAGCTTTCTTACCCTTCTTTCTTCCTACCTCAGAAACACACCCTCACACACACACACATACCCCTTCCCTGCCCCCATCCTTCCAAAATAGCTGCGCCACACACTCTGGTTGAATCAGCACTCAGCATAGACTTGCAGTGTGCTCTAATGAAATCTTCAGTTCCTATATTCATCCTATTTCTCCTGCAGCTGACTGTCGCTGTGTTGTTGATTTAAAGTTTCGACTCTGTCGATATTCATCCCCATCGTCTGATAGAACCTGTAAAACTCCTTCCAACATAGTTTTCAGCACATCTGATAATGGCATCTGTTCCCTTGTCTTCATAATGTGTCGGGGTGCGGTTCCCAGACTGGGTAAGTGCAGTGGGGATCCAAACAGAGAGCAGGGAGCGAGTGTCAGAGCCACGCGGGGATGCCAGACAGTCATGCGTTCCGAGGGCGTTTGGGAGGGTTTAGGCTTCCGTGTTTGACCCTGAGCCAGGCGCTCTCCTCTCTCTGGCCCTGTGGTCCCCAACTGTCAGGTGTGGGATTCTAACACGCCGGAGGGCTCCAGCTGTGCCTCCCCCTCAGCCTGCTTGGCCCTTCGGTTCCTAACCCTGCTCACCTGGCAGGTGTCTTGTCTGTAAGATAGAGACTGCTGAGGGTATGGAGAACGTTCCCACACCCTTCGATTGTGGTCCAATAAGGGCCGCCGCCGGTTCACAGGATTCTCCGTGCTCTCTTCCCATCCTGATTCGCAGTATTTGCTTATATGATTTTAAATCATTATTTGATGGGGAATGGGGTCTGTTTTCTCTACCACTCTTTGCTTATAGACATTAAAGCTTTGATGTTTGCTTAGAGTTGTCAAATAAAATTTCCATTTTTTGGAGTGTGAAAACGTTTCTATGCCATTGTCCCTTTCGTGTTTCTCTCCTCGCCGCCCCCATCTCCTTCCACACGCACCCCCAATTCTATTTCTTTCCTTTAAACGAGAGTTCCTTCTGGTTACTTATCTCCAAGACTCATGTTGGTCATCTTTAGAATGGGCTTCTTAATAGCCTCACCTGGCTACCATGCGTGCTAAGTGAGGGAGTGTGCCCAGTGCCTTGCGCGGTGCCTGGCCAAAGAAAGCTACACATATATAGTTTTCCTCTTATTGCTCCATCCACATTAGGCATTGATCTGCTTTAACTGCTCGAGTCCTCTGGGCTTAGGGTGTCAGTCAGCTGTCAGCTGAGCTGAACAGGACTTTGGGAAGGTCGGGCGTGGATGCCTGAACCAGTCATTGAGCATGATTCTGCAGGGGCTCCATGTAAAATGGGTTAACTCAAAGCTGTTTTCTGGAGGACTTAAGCTCTTCCGACAAAGCTCTATAGAAATAGGAGACATTTGTGATCTTATTAATTGGTGGCGTCTTCAAATAGACCACCCTGAATCGAATATAATGCAAGTGTCCCCAGATGTGGCCAGCAACCCCTCATTCATGTATTGAGGTATGCGGCAGGTCAAGAGAAAAGGCAGGCAAGAGGGTCCCGGAGCCTTTTCTGACTGAGCATTAGGTGGCTCCAGCAGCTGACCTCTCTTTCAGGAGCACTTTTTTTTGTTAGGGCTAATTCCTGAAGCAGTCCTCCCAACAGCCAGTTCCCCCAGCTGTAAGCAGGGGCTGCAGGGGGCCCAGTAGTCAGGAATTACTGCCCCAAGCAGGAAGTGTCTAATGGTTTCTATTTACTTTTAGTTACAAGAGGGAGGTCTTCCTTACAATAGAGGCAGAAAGCACATTTTACCTTAGGAGGGAACCAGAGCTTTCTAAGGACACCACGGTCCCATCTTGAAATTGCTCTGCCACCAACAGGACAAGGACAAGGGGAACAATTTCTTACCTATGTCTTGAGTTGAAGTGTAAGACTGTGCCTGGCTTGTGTCCCTGTAATGAAGCAGGAAGCTACTGTCCTGTGGTCACATCAGAGATGGCATTTTGTGCTATTTTTTTAAGTCAAATGCTACTTTAAAAATCAACAGTCTAGCAGACTTGGAATATACAAGGATATAGGAGAAATGGATAATCTATTGGGTTGTCAGGAAAGTCATGACGTATTTTTTCTATGTTTTTCGTTGCAAAAATGCGTCATGACTTTTCTGACAACCAAATGTCTCCTTTCATTCTTTGAAGAAAGTTTATACATCTCTTTTCTCATATCGATGGTGTATTTATAAAAATCCATCAGGTGTCCATCGGGGGGGGGGAACCTTTGACAAATTTAAAAAGAGTTTCTAAGGCCACAGTCATGGTTATAATCTAGTACAAATTAGAAAGAAATACTATAAGGCTGACCCCCTCCTCGCCAAGTCTTGACTATTCAGAAATTAAATGTATAAACTGGATAATTTATCTGATTGAAGACAGACTCAGAAGGGAGACCATAAACTGTCTAAAAAGAAATGAAAAGAACATTTTATACTAAATCTATGTGCCATAGCAAAAGAGGTGCCAGAGGAAAATGTATAGCTATAAATGTCTTCATTATTAAAGACAAAAGATGGAAAGTAAAGGCGATAAGTAATTGTTTTAAGAAGTTTGGAAAAAGTCCAAGAAATTAAACCAAAAAAAAAAAAGAGGGAAATAGAAACAAAAAGCTAAATTTAATGAAACCAGAAATAAATAGAAAACATTAGGAAGGAATATAAATTTACGTGGCTGTTCTTGGAAAGGCCCAAATGTAGAGATTTAACCATATGCATGATCTGAGAGAAATGGCTGAGCAAAGAGCTAACCCTTCACTCAATAGAATGTGATGCAGCCATTAAAATTGTTTTAAAAGCAGTTGTAAGAGGATTGGGTGAAATGCATACATCAAGTAAAAAGAGCAGAATCAAAAATTGTATTATAGAATGATTATAACCATGTGAATACAATCTCCCACCTCCCTCCTACCCCAAGCTCTGAAGAAATTAAGTCTGGGACGAATCATCCGGATATCACAGCGGGAAGGAAGTATTGACTCGTACTACAATGTGGGGCAACCTTGAATGCATTGTGGTAATTGTATGAAGCGAGTCAGAGAAGACCGCATAACTGTCTAATTCCATTAATATGAAATTCCCAGTGTAGGTGAAGCTACAGAGACAGGAAGTAAATTAGTAGTTGCCTAGGGCTGGGGGTTGGGGGATGGGGGAGTGACAGGTAAAGGGTATGAGGTTTTTTATTGGGGTGATGCTGTATTTTAAAATTGATCACCCGATGGTTGCATAACACTGTGAATATACTACAAACCTTTGAATTGCACACTTTCAGTGGTTGAATGGTATGGGAATTATCTCTTAATTAAACTGCTACAAAAAAAAAATCACAGTGGTTATCTTACGGAATGGAAGTATCGGTGATTTTTCTTGCTTTTCCACCTTCTTTTGTAATTTCCAGATTCCCAGATATAATTCTGTGTTACTCCTATAATGAAAACATAATAAACCAGAAAACATTTTAAAGGAAGAATGTTAGTAATTGGCCTTTTCGCAGAGAAGACAATGATGGGAAATCTGCTCCCCTACCTCCTGAGAAGGAAAGGGGGGGAGGCTGAGTCCCATAATCCTAAAATCTGGGCACTGGTTGTCATGGATCGCTGAATTGTCAGCTGCCAGTCACATAAAGGGACTCAGCGCTATTCTTCTGCGAGTCAAAGAAAGTAAAGCTCATTGGTCTGGGGTCTTTCAGGGGCGGGATCGCATCTCAGGGAAAAACTGAGGGTCCGTGAAACCTGGGGATGCCTAGGAACCAATTTCTAGTAAAATCTTCTAAGAGGTGTCAGACACTGCTGTCCGAGCGGTACATGAGAGAGAGCGAGAGAGAGCTGTTACTTATATAACTTCCTGTAATTGCCGGCTGATGGTCGTGGCTGATGGTCGCCCGCCCCTCCTCTTCGCTGAGCTGGGGGATCCCCAGACTTTCCTCTTGCAGAGGGTTTGCCTGCTACCTTTGGGCTTCATGTGCTGGGTCAGTCTCCTTAACCGAAACTGAAATGCCATTTTAAACAGGAGACTCCATCATCTCTTTTGAAGATGGGAAACTCTTACGCTGGACAGCTGAAGACGACGCGGTTTGAAGAGGTCTTGCACAACTCCATCGAGGCCTCCCTGCGCTCCAACACCCTGGTCCCCAGGCCCATCTTCTCGCAGCTGTACCTGGAAGCAGAGCGGCAGCTCTCCGCTCTAGAAGGTAGGAGACGCATTGGTCGATGTATTTTCGTGTGTGCAGTGAATGTTGGCAGCAGAACTTGAAACGCTGTCCTCTGCTGCTCTGGGTAGACAATGTTGAGTCCACCAGAAAAGAATTGCTAGAAAAAGAAAGTTGCATGTAAATTCTTACTCGGCTGAAATTAAAATAGTTTCGGCCATAAAGTTGCAAGGAATAAAATCATGCATTGGACTAAAAGGAGAAAGGAAGAGGGGTCGTGTTAGACAGCTCTGAATGGGTTGTTACTCATCCTTATTAAAAGGTTTGACGTTTTCACTTGGGTAAGTAAGACATTTTAACAGGCTTTTGACCCTCAGCTACTGTTTTATTCTTTGTCCTCTGATCTGTGGCCATATCTTTGCAAAGTAGTCTAGATGGTTTCTCTTGTGCTAGCAGGTACAAGAGCCCTCTGGAAGCCTTTAAAAACCAAGAACAACCTCTTATGAATTTCACATGTGCCAGGAATAAAGCAATACATTACCTTGAGGCTTGGGGACCACTTTTGGGTTTACTTAATTATCCAGAGAATAAAATGGTTGTATTTTTCCATCTTTAGTTTGTAATTTTTATAGCTGGGTAATTTCATGTCAAAAGTTACCTCCCAGCAATCCAGAGTAGGAGACAGTTCCTGCAAGGGAAGTTCTTTTGTCAGTTTTATGTCTTTCACTTGAAGTTGCCTGCAGACTTCACTTAGCTATTGAAGTGAAAAAGGGGCTGTGGTTTATAACAAGCTTTAACTAATTAAATGAGAAAGTGTGCTGTATGCCTGTGTTGGGGTGGTCGTGGGGGGTGTGTGTGCATGTGGGGGTTGGGGGTGGGCACGGTGGGCCAGGGAGGGCCGTACATCAGGAACAACGAGGCACAGTGTGCTTGTGTGATACCTGAGAGTCCCTTATTCAGGCAGGGAGGCACTCCGGTGTCACCCTTTAAAACGTCCTTAGTAAGTTAACCTTGCAGACGCGGCAGCACAGGACCTAAGAGACCTGGATCTGGGCCTGAGAGAAGCTAGCTTATGGGCAAAAGCGCGAACTAGGATTATGAGTGTTCTCGCAGGTTTACATCTGAAGTGCTCGCGTTTTCCGGCAGAGGAAACAGCACTGACACATTGTGGGGAAAAGAGAAATAGCTGGAGAATATTTTATAGACTATCTTTGACTAGCAAAAGGATTTGTGAAATACGTAGTAAATAGCCATCCTTAGCTCCTCACTGTCTCGAAAGGCTTTGTTGCTAATGATAAACGAATGAGGATAATAATGATACATTATTTTAAGGTGGGGAGGGCACCTTAACATCTACGAGGCGCCTCACTTCCAACCAGCCAGAGTAACTGAATCCCGTGATTGGGAAGATGGGAGGTTGGTTTGCTTGATGTTTTGAAGGATGCTCACCTGGGGAGAGAGAGGCGGGTCCCGCTCGGCCTTTACTTACGCCTAAGTTCTCCGTAGACAACCTCTTCTGGCCTCTGAATGGGAGGCTGCATCCCTAACTTTCCGCTTTCTCAGGATGCCCTCATCTGCCTACAGGGCGCCGGGCAAGTGACACTTTCCAGGGACAGTTTTCAGGCATCCACTCCTGGGTGCCACCGGTGTTGAGTGCTGAAGGCTCCCTGCCATCTTGTTGGACACTTGTTCTCTTCCTGTTGGGATGAAAACCAGAGCTGCCCTCTATGATTTTCCCATATGTTCAGCAAACAGAATAGAGACATCCTCTGAGATTTGGTTTTTCTAGCGGGGGGAGGTTGGTGTTTTCAGTTTGCTAAATGTCACCGTAAACTGAGCGCCCTGCCCCAGCCCTGGGTTTCTGCCTCATAAAGCCTGGCGCGGACGGCTTGTACAGGTCATGTCTTGCTCTGTCTGCCTGCCTGTCTGTCAGAGTCTCTTATCTTATCGCCGTCCTTCCTTAGACAATAACATTCGAGATGATTTTTATGACCAAGGTGCCGGTGTACTAATCACCCCTGGGTCGGTTAACATTTTCTGTTAGTGAGGGTGACTCAGCGGGGGATTGATGACTTTGTTCTCCGACTCAGGGGGTCTTACCACCTCCTTCTAGGGGGAAATAACCTTTCATTTGTTATTTAGTTGTTGTTGTTTTTTTAAAAAAGACCAACCAAACACAAATACCACCCCAGCATTTTGAGGTATTTATTAATGAAGCAAGATGCAGGTAAATTCCTGTAACCCTACCCACTTGGAATGTTGTACAGTTTCTTCTCATGGAAAGAGAACACAGTCTACTGTACACATGAACACAAACAGCCTCCTACTCTGGGAATGAAGGGCTGTAATGGAAGCCCTGGGCCCCTGTTTGAGCAGTAAGGTCCTAGCCCCATTCCAGTCGGCTTTGTCTATCTCCATCTGAAAGCTCTCCTCCTGCCCGGAGACCTTGATAACAGTCTGGTTCCATCTGCTCCTGGTTAGGCGGCCTCCAGGATTGCTGCTGGCTGACTGATCCCATCAAAGGCCCTGGAATGTCTGATGTAGACCTTTGACCTTTAATACTGCTTTCTTAGTGACTGGATTTTGAGGTCTTTCTTTGACTTTCCGAGGCTTAAGACCCTCCTCTTTCATTCTTTCTGGGAGTCTGTTCTTCGAGGCTCAGCAGAATAATGTGCAGACATTCCTCGGGGTGCCCTCAGACCTCCTGAGAACTTGTCTCCTCATTGCTGCCCCTCTGAGCCTCTGGAGTGCTGGCTCAGGGTAGTCTGGATTTTGCTGCAGAGCCGTCTATGCCACCCACTCCATAGGTGGCTAAAGGACAGTTTGGGTGACCCTGGGGACCTGGGCTGCTTTGCTGGTGCCTGGAGTCAGGGCATGACTGTACCTTCTGCTCAAACCCTCCATGCCTGCATTTAGTGGCAGGAAGGAAGCTTCTAAAGGAGGTTGTGTAGTTATCTCCCCCCACCCCCACCCCCGGCTTGGGTTCTTCCTAGGTAATTTTTTTCCAGTCTTTCTGCCAGCTCTGTGTCCTCTAGGCCCAGAAAGACAGAGACACCAGGAATTGTTGCAACGTTCCTGCTGTGAACCTTCCCAAGGCCACAGGCCTGAGCTGGCTTGAAATGTCCGGTTTCTTCATCTGCCTCTTGTCCATCAGGTACCTTTAAAATGGTGGCCACTGTGAGGTTGTTTTCAGTCCCCTGTACAAGTTGAATCATGCCTGGAGTATTATTCTGTGCCACTCGTAGGCCATATTTTCCCACATAGACTGTCATAGCTCAGAGTGACCTTGTATCACCACCTCATTTTACAGATGCAGGATCTGATGCACAGAGAGGTTAAGTAACTTTCCTGCAGCCACACAGACTATGGCAGACCCAAGTCCTAAAACCTGAGTCCCCTGACTCCCAGTCCCAGCTCTTTCCACTGCACAGGATTGCATCATTAACCTAAAATGAGTTAACCCACTGGATGGATGGAGGGTGTGTGAGCCAAGTAAGATGCGAGCAGGAGAGATGGCAACAAAGAAGCCAGCCCTGAAGGAGACAGAGAAACAAAGAAGAAACAGCTGCTTCCTGCCCTAGTGTGTTTAAGGGTGTGCGTAGTGATGCTATTCTGAAGAAATCAGAATGTGATTTATTAAATGGCATTTAAAGACAAGCTGTAAAAGATTTTTTTTTTTACCCAAAATTTCTGTTAAAAGAAGTTAGGACTCTACGTCAACAGCCTTGAAAATTCATTTATATGAGCTCCCCCCTGTCTTTAGTGATGCTGGTAAACAAGATGTAACTGTGTGCTCAGATCAGGGCCTGTGTTACTTGCGTGCTGCCTCTGGAGGCATTTCGCTGGACACCTGGACTGCAGAGGTGAGTAAGGGCGGGGCATCAATCTCCAGGAGGGGAGTGACAAGAAGCTGCCGTGACAGCTCAGACGCAGCCAGCCAGCAGTGAGATCTCCTGGCCAGTTCCTCATTTGACATAACTCCTGTAAAACTAGTTTCCTAAAGTCATAACATGCCTGGTCCTGTTCTGGAATGGCTTTTTGTGTGTGGGTGTGACAGATTTGGGTGTGTTTGTGTTTCTAGTAATGATGCAGCCGTTCTTCCCTCGGGAGTAAATGGGGACGTGTTGTGTCACTGCTGCCTTGTGGTCAGTAAAGGCAGTTCGTGCTGTTTCTTGTATTCTAAGCTGAGCCGTGCACTTGGCAGTGAGAACATCAACTTGGGCATTACACATGACTGGGGACATGCCAGCTGTGCTACTTAGCAGTTCATTGGAGAGCAGTGGGCCAATCATGGGTCTCTCTCAGCCTCAGTTTCCTTATCTGTGAAATGGTCTATCTGTTATACCATGGTACCCCCCCACACACACACACACACAAATATTTTCAGAGTGCTCACTATATATAGGCTTCATGTTCAGGCCTCATCAACCAATTACATATGGAGTGAACCCTAGTGTGTGTGCAGACATGTGCCACTGTGATGGATGGGAAGAGAAGTGACCTTGAATTTGAAGCCATGAGGCCAGGCTCAGAGCCTGAGCCTGTGACCTTGGGAAAGTCAGCGACCTGAGTGAGCCTTTGCTTTTCCCTCTAGTAAAGATAGGTGACAATGCCCGACTTACGGTGTCTGTGTAAGGATTGATGAATTACTCCATAGCTGAGACTTGCTGAGTACTTACCTCTGCCTTCCGCCTTACCCCTCTTTCCCCCTTCTAGGCAGTAGCCGAGTGGACAATGAGGAAGAAGAAGAAGAGGGGGAAGTGGGGCTGGAGCCGAACTGTCCCCCAAATCCCTACCAGATGCTCCCTCTGCCTGAAGGATGCTGCACCACGGATGGTGAGCCTGCCAGCCCCTGCCGGGCAGTGCCCGCCGCCCCGAGTCTGCAGCTGTGTGCTGCGGGCCTGCCGTCCCATCCCTGCAGCGTTGGCTACACCAGTCAGGCTCACAGCCCCTCAGCCACCCTATGGACAGACTCAACTTGCCGAGTGGATTCAGATCCAAAAGTTCATTTTTCTACATTAGTTGTTTGAAAACTAAAATATACATCCCCAGCTCAGGCGTGTTTGCACCATGTGTGCAACTCAGAACTCATTAGCAGGAAGAATCTTTCGTGTCTGTCGGTACTTTACTGTTGGAAAAGCAGATACACGTTATCTCAGGGACCCTGTGGAATCGGTAGTGTTCTTCCCATCTTGCTGTCCGAGAACCGAGGCTCGGAGATGCTGCAGGGTTGCAGCTCGGCCTCGTGATAGGAGCTTGTGCTCAGCTCTCAGACTTGGCTGAACGCGGCGCTGCCGCTCTCTGGCCGGACAGCCTGTGGGTGGTACTCAAGTTCATCCGTCCTGCTACTGTAACAGTCAGAGACGTCACTAGTTAGTGATTTAGTCAGTCAGTTAATTAGGTTCATTGAGCCCCTGCTCTGGAAACATGGAAATAAAAGGTACAAGAGCTTCCAGATTCATGGAACTTCATAGGCAGGCGGACACTTGGCACGTGATGTAGAAAATGCTAGCAGGTAGGGTGGGCAAGCAGGGGTGCATGGGGGCACAGGAGAGACTCCTAACACAGGTAGAGAGCTTGGGGAAGACTTCTTGGAGGAGGCGGCCCTTCATCTGCGTTTTGGAGGATTAGCAGGAGTTAGCCCGGACACAGTAGGAGGGTTGGGGAGAGCTGAGATGTTCCCGACAGAGGCACTGCGTGTGCAGGGGCTTAACAGGGGGAGAATAGAGCTCAGTTGGGGGACTGCTAGCACTGGTGGGTTAGTTAGATAAGGGCCTGAGGTGGGGCAGGGCAGGGCTTGGAGAAGTGATCAGATGGGCTGTGGAGGCCCCGTCCACCCTGCTCTCTGGACTTAACCTTGTGCGGGATGGCTGGCAGAAGAGGGAATTCGCCCTGTCTGGGGCTGCTATTCCTAGGAAATGGAAGTCAGTATAGTGGGTCTTTGTGAGGTAGGCCTTCCAGTGTCCAAGTATTAAAAGGCCACCTAATTAAATAAGGGAACGGTAAACTCTCCGGTGGTCACTATGGTGATTTTCAAAGAATTTCTGAGTAAACGCAGTGAATACTCTGACTGCCCACGGCCAGTTTTCCCCCAGCTCTTCACAAGGCAGGGGCCAGCCCTCTGCAGGCCAGGAGGGGTCCGGGGCCTGGAGGTTGAAGACCCGCTGGGTGCCTGACCTCAACCGCAGAGAGTTTTCTGAACTTGCCCAAGACGATGAAGGGGAGCCACCCAAGTCTGAGAGTCAGACCGGCTCCACCCCCGTAGGTGATCCACGGGAGCTTTGCAGAGCGCGCCTGGCCGGGTGCTGCACACAGTGGGCGCACAGCCTCCCGCCCTCCGGCCTTCCCCCCAGGGCAGAGGGGAGGACTTGAGACAGCGCCTGTCGATGGTAAAGCAGGTGCTCATGGGAGGAGAGTCTCTGTAATGTCCTGTACAGTTTTGGAGGGAAGGCCTTGGGCGCATCCAGTTGGTAACCATCATCCCATCATCTCAGTTGGCAACCAAGGTTGGCAGAGGCACAGGGCATCCGGCTGAATGTGCCTCAGCGAGAAAAGGCCTGGCAAGGGCCTATCCAGATAAAATCAGCTGTTTCCTCCTCCTTCCTTTTTCCCCCAGATATTTCTGGACACTAATTTTTTAAATGGGAAATATATTTAAAAGCTCTTAAATACAAAAGGTTCAAACGCGTATAGAGTGACAGTCTCCCTATACTGGTGAGTCTCCTCTGTGTCCTGGTCGCCCAGGCCCCTCCCCAGAGGCAACCGGTGTCACCAGGTTCTCACCCTTCATTCCTGACCCTCGCCTGACCTCATACACGTAAAATGCAGGGTGTAAAAAATACCAAATCACTCACATTTTCTAATGGATTTATCTTGTATACATTTTAATTGATCATCATTTCTCTACACTTTTTACCTCTTGAGCTTCATTTGTACATTAATATGTGTTAATATATGTGATACCGATAATCATAAAAACATGGGGTTAAGTGTCATTAATAACCATGGTTATAATTTTATCTCTCAGAATTATAATAATTTTAAAGTCAGCCATGTCCAGAGGTAAGGGTTGGTTCCAACAAGATCCAGAATGTTCTCATCCTTTTGCCCATGCCGATCCTGGTTCTGGAAGCCTCTTGGCTGCGTGCGTGAGCCCTGTCCGTTCCTCCTAGGGTTCTGCCAGGCGGGGAAGGACCTGCGTCTCGCCTCCATCTCCAATGAGCCCATCGACGTCCCTGCAGGCTTCCTCCTCGTGGGGGCCAAGTCCCCCAGCCTGCCGGACCACCTCCTGGTGTGTGCCGTTGACAAAAGGTTCCTGCCAGATGATAACGGGCACAACGCCCTTCTTGGTAAGTTTCTCCTTTGCTCTTCTCTTTGTCTGCATGTTGGGTGGGGACAAAGGAGGCCTTTGGTGGTGACAGATAGGCCACCTTTGTGGCCTCTTCATCAGCATGTCACACCCCACCCTTTATGTCTTTTGGTAGACTGTTTCTTTGGGGAATGAAATGCAAGTGATACCTATTTTATTATTATTTTTTATTATTATTATTTTTTTAAGATTTTATTGGGGAATTGGGAAGGGGAACAGCCAAATTGTTGTCCTTCAATCTTAGTTGTGGAGGGTGCAGCTAGCTCAGCTCCAAGTCCAGTCACCATCTGGCCGCCCTTTGGCAGCTCATGGCCGCTCAGCTCAAGGTGCCGTGTTCAATCTTAGTTGCAGGTGGGCGTAGCCCACCATCCCCTGCGGGAGTCAAACTGTCACCAGCTGAGCCATCCTGGCACCTGTTGGCAGCTCAGCGTCAGCTCAGCTTGGGCGCAGCTCACTGGTCCATGTGGGAATCGAACCAGCGATCCTGTTGCTCAGAGCTCGCGCTCTTAACCAGCTGAGCCACTCAGCCGGCCCAAGTGACACCTATTTTAAAATGTGACTACCTTCCTGTGGAAAGCCCATCATGTAGTATATTTTTTTGGTACCTGTATTCATCGAACCTTCCCTAAGTGCTTACTGTGTCAGGAATGGGATCCAAACCCTGTCCTAGATCCTCCCGGAAGACATCAGATGTGAGGTAGAAGGAGAAAAAGGCTGAGTATGTGTTCCTGCCTCTAGAACGTTCATAACCACAGTAACTGCCCGGCACCCTCCATCCATTCTCTTTTTTGGTTTACTTCTCACCTCTCAGGAGGTGTCATTCTAATTCTGGTTTTATAGGTGAACTTGAAACTGTTCATGAACTTGCCCAAGGGTACATGAGTAAAGGGCAGGATTCAAACTCAGATCTTCTGGCTCCAAATTCTACCCTGTAACCGCCATACTTCATGGTCCCGTGTCCTGGTTACGGTCAGCATGGGGGAAATGCAGGCTTGATCTTTCACATGACAACTGGCCCCCAGAGACCCCGACGTCAGTGCAGAGCGGAGGCCAAGCCGTTTCAAGCCTGGCTCTCATTTGTTCAGACATTTATTGAGCTCTTACTGTGTGCCAGACCCTGTGCTCAACACATTCCCCCGTTAGTGGAACAAAATCAGGGGAGATGTGAGGTTTGGACCCGAAAGCTCGAGGGCTGGCTTTTAGTCCTGCATCTGACCACAGGGGTGCTTATGGCGTCTGGGCCTCAGTGTCCTCATCCATAAAGTGGGGAGGTGATGTCCACATGTGCTCCTGACCCTTCCAAAGTTGGGCCCCTTCCCCTGACTTGGTGTCTCCTTTGGAGGAGAACTTGGCAGACAGAAGGGTTGGTAGTGATCTGTCTATTTCAGACGTAGCCTCAGGAATAATCTTCATTGTAGAAGTCAGTTTGATGGTGAGAGTTTATGGGGAAAACTTGTAGGTTAACCTCCCTTCCCCCCGGGACATTTATTGAGCACAATTTATGTCTGAAGCACTGTGCATAGGACGGAAGGGTGAGGAGGGGAGAGAGCAAGGATTGACACAGAGAAGAAAAAGAAATGGCTCCTGCCGCCTGGGGTGGGGTGGGACATGGCCACGTGTGACCTCTGAACCAAGGCAGAGGGGTGCTGACTGGAGGGACAGACGTGGCCCTGGGACAATGACCAGGGAGAGAAAGTTTATTCCGACTCTCTTTTAAGGCAGGTTCATGGGCTAATTGTAACTAGTTCTTGCAAACAAAAAAATGCCAGAAAATCCACTCTCCCAAAGAAACTGCCAGTCATTCCAGTTCTGATCTAATTTGCTTAAAGGCTGCTCAGGATGAACCCCGTTGGGAAGATGACCTGGTGGCTTGGTTAGCGTTTCATCTGCCGGTGGTGAGGGTTTGCCTGACTTCCACCACTTTGTGACTAAGAGAATTGCGAGGGTAGTAAATCGAGGCGGTTCTGTGTCTTGAAATGTGGAGACAAGACTCAGTGCATTCAGCACCAGCCCGGTAACGGCTTCAGCCCCTCAGTGCAGAGGAAGTGGTGTCTGTTAATTGCTCGCCAAAAAGCCATTGGAGGTGGGTCACCGGGCCAGTTGGTAATAAGAATGCTTTCTTCTTTTAAAATAACTATGCTCTCAGCTTGCACACTTAACACTGTTTAGGTTTCCTGCAATTAACCCCAGTGGCTGCACAGGACAAGGTGGCCCGGCAGGCCTCCGGGGGCTGGGGCTCAGTGCCTTTTAGTGACCTATAAAATGGAAGCTGTGGATTATCTTAGGGGAAGCGATGGCTTTAGCTCTCCCCCACCCCCATAATTTATTATGAAGAGAGTCTTGTTTTAGTGACTTTGAATCAACTGAGGAATTTTTGTCTGAGAAAGTTGAAAGACTAGAATCCAGGTGTATGTTTCAATTTTTTTATGGTAATCCATCTAAATTGCCTGATAGCTAAGATATAGGAGTAGAAAACGTCTAAGTAGAATGTTCATTTCTTAGATGGGAGTAAATGAGGTTTCTGTTCATTCAGCAGACAAATAATTTAAGTAGTTTTGGAATGTATAAACCCAAACTGAAGGCAGAGCTGAGGTTTAGCCCGGAGCCCCAAAGCCAAGTCCGACGCGGTCCTTCCCTGGGAGAACACAGGCGGAGACTCAGAGCCACACCAAATAAAGCTTATTTAAATCTCTGTGTAGCATCTTATAGCCAAGGATGTAAGGTGCTGCACACAACTCCCAGCCATGGGAGAGCCATCTCAGAGGATGAGGTGTTCTAATGGGGCCCGGAAAAATGAGTGGAATTTTGCCGGTTGGAGAATAGTAACAGCAGCTACTTTATTGAGACTTAACCATGTGCAGGAAACTGTCCTAAGTTAAAAGAACCTGGAGAGGCGGGCACATTATGATCTAGCATTTATAGAGAAAGAAGCAAAGGCACAGAAGGGGTAACTGACTTGCTCGGGGTCACCCAGCTAGTAAATGGTAGGTCCTGAACTTGAGCCCGGAGGACCTGGCCCGGGTGCTCACGTCCTAGGGGACGCAGGGCATCTCAGGCCCAGGGACCCTCGTGCATGAAGGGAGTCAGCATGCCGAGGGCATGGTGAGACCTCCCTGTGGCTGGAGCAGAGGCTGCTGAGAAGGGCGCAGTAGGGTCCCCCTTGGAAAAGGCTGCAGTACCCGGGAGCCATTTTCAAACTGGAGGAGTCGAGGGAAGAGGGTCATAATCTAACCTCTCTGTCTTTCGTCTTTGACAGTTACTAACACACGGCTAGCCTGGCTTTCACTCATAACTCTTCCGTCTTCATGACCTTCCAAATTATGTTGAAGCAAATCCCAGACATCATGTCATTTCATCTGTAAGTGAGTCAGTGTGTATCTCTAAAAGATAAGGGCTTTTTGTTGGAAATCCAGTACAATCATCATACCTAAAAAATTTAACAATAATTCCTTAATATTTTCAAGTCTCCAGTGTGTTCAGATTTTGTTTGATAACTTGATTAAAGTTGGTTTTTTTGAATCAAGTTCCAAATGAGACTCTCCCAAAGCATTTGGTTGCTATATCTCTTAAGTCTCTCTTATTTGTTGTCTCTCTTCATTTACCTGTCCTTCTTTTCTAGATTTTTCCCTATAGTTTGTATTTTAAAGAAACACCAGAAGTGTTCAAATAAGGCAATTACCATGTTCTAATTTGCATTTTTGAAAGCTCTTTTGTAGGTCACATGAATAATTGATTTTTATTAAACGATAGAAACTGAGGCAGGGGAAGTAGTTACGAGCCTATTGCAGGATTCCAGATAATTACGGTGTCCTGATAGTTCTGTTTCAAACAGCAGAGTGTTGGACCATCCACCCGCCTTGAGTTTGTCCCAGATGGGTCTCCTGCAGCCTGTCATAGCTGTGTACTCAGAGAGATGACTTGCCGTGTTCGAAGGAAGCCACTGTGGTTACTTCAAAGAAGAATCATATACCTTTGGTTCTGGAAGGAAGCATAGAGCCCATTTAGTCCTCACCTTCCCTTTTATGGCTGGGAAATGGAAACCCGGATAGATTGCACCACTTCCCCCATTATCTCCCTTCTGGCACTGTGGGGACCTAGGTACTAGGGTCAGACTTGAGTCTCCTGTCTGCACCTGTGCCTCTCCCGCCCCCGCCCCAATACAGCTATGCCTGTCCAAGGGAGAGGAAGGAGAAATGACGCTTGCTGAATACCTACTGTGTGCTGGACACATAGTGGGCACTTTACCCTCCACGTGCTCCTTCCAGGTGGATTTTTGTGAGGAGCTAGCATAGCAGAATGGTTCAGTCCCAACTCCCAGACTTTCTACCCTGTATCTGTGGCCCAGTTATTGCCTCTCTGTGCCTTGATTCCCTCATCTGTAAACTGGGAGCCTACAAATGGTTTTATAGGGCTTCTGGAGGTTTAAACAAGAACGTTTGTAATGTAAAGTGCTTGGTACAGTGCCTGGCATATGATCAGTGTGCAGTAAACGTTCTCTACTATCATCTTGTTTACAGGTGAGGAAAGCAAAGCTCAGAGATGTTAATTAATCTACTCAGTGTCACATAAGTAGCGAGGCAGGGTTTGAACCCAGGTTCTTCTGATTTGCAAGTGTGTTCATGCTCCATTGCAGTGAAGGGGGGTGGAGAGAGAGGATAGGCGCTTTCCTGCCAAGAGAAGGGACAGCCTGGCCCAGTGGCCGGTGCCCACAAGCACCCATTCAGGGATACGCTTGTTAAACAAATGCCACCCATAGCTGCTAAACTGGACCCCCAGGAAGATCGCAGTGCTCTCTCTGCGTGGTCATGGAAAGTCGTTTCTATGGGACGTTTCCCATGGGACAGTACACTGAAGGACTGCTCTCTTTTAGTCTGGATATTTGTGCCTGGTGGGAATGTGTGGAGTCAGGCTGCATGGCCTACTTTCTAGGCTTGTCTTCCAAAGAGATGATTACAGACTCCCACGTCCTAAGGGTGGTTTCCAAAGAGAATGGCTTATTTCGTTCTTCCTCATGAAAACTTTTATTGCCTTCCAGACAATGTCTCGAAAAATTAGAATTACCTCATACGTTCGGCTGGGGTGGTTGAAGCCACGCCCCCGTTTCCTGGGGCTGGTTGGTGAGCCGTCCTGTGGTTTTCTTGGTTGGCCTTCTCAGAAAAGCAGCGGATTCTCCCGGCCAAGAAGTTTTTGCCAAAGCGGGAGAGCAGTTTGCTTGGTGGCTTCCTAAGCAACTTACTACTATACCAGGAAGACCCAGGTTTCCATTTCATTCCCAAACTACAAAGAGGAGCTCCTTATGGTCGGTGGTCCCCATCACTGCCTCTGAAATGGCCCCACAGCCCACATTTCTGGTGGGACAAAGGCCTGTAATCTCGTTAGCTGTTTCTGTAAAGGGATGACAGTGCAGGGCTTGGCGAGCTGTTCTTAGCATCCTTGATCTTGCAGCTCTGTTGTAGTTCTCCATTTTTTTTTCTTTTTAAAAGATTTTATTGAGGAGTTGGGGAAGGGGAACAGGCAAGACAAGTTGTTGTCCTTCAGTCTTAGTTGTGGAGGGCGCAGCTACCTCAGCTCCAAGTCCAGTCACAATCTGGCCGCCCTTCGGCAGCTCAGCTCAAGGTGCCATGTTCAATCTTAGCTGCAGGTGGGCACTGCCCACCATCCCATGTGGGAGTCGAATCTGCAACCTTGTTGTTAGGAGCATGTGCTCTCACCAGCTGAGCCATCCTGCCACCTGTTGGCAGCTCAGCACCAGCTCAGCTCGGGCGCAGCTCACTGGCCCATGTGGGAATCGAACCGGTGATCCTGTTGCTCAGGGCTCGCGCTCTTAACCAACTGAGCCACTTGGCTGGCCCTCCTCCATCTTTTTGACACTCAGGATCAGAGTCCCTTCCAGAGAGCTTGGGAGGCTTCTTAGGACCTTTTCTTAGATGGCAGTTGAGGTGTTTATCTCAAGGTTCCCAGGTTGGAGACAAAAGAAACAATAAAAACATTAGATTATTGCTTCAGCGTGTATGCGGAAATCTCTCAGGGTTCACTCTTACAGGTAGCTTGTTTCTTCTCTCCTCCCTTCCCTTCCACTATTTACCGACAGTCTGCCATGTGCCAGGCACACACACCTATGTACACAGATGCAACCCGCACCTCCACGTAGTCACACCATGATCCCGGCCCTTTGGAAGCATGGGATAGTTATGGGGAAAAAGACACGCATCTCAATAACTATAACACTAAGGAAGAAGTTACCAGGGCCCTCTGAACAATATAAAGAGGCCATAGGGGCGTGGAGACCAGTGAGTCCCAGCCCTTCGGGAAAAGGAAGGCTCTGGGGGAGTGGGTATTTGAGCTGAGCATCGAGTGCTAAGCAGGGTGTGTGCAGGTGGGGCTCAAGTGAGGAAAAGTGTGGCCCCAGAGGCAGGAGGGTGGCGGGAGTGGGCAGGGGCGTCCAGTAGGAATTCGGCCTAGCACAGTGAGGACCAGGAAATAAAGCTGGAGCTGCGGGGTGTGGGGCAGCCTGAACACCAGGCTATGGGTCTAGACTTCGTTCTCGTGCTAGACTCGAATGCCACCCTTTCTTTATCTGCTTTGGATAAATTAGTCTCTCTGGTTTTCCAGAAGAAGGTTTTGCTGTCCTGATTGACTGGGTATTGTTAAGCTGAGTGACCTGTCTGGATGACAGTGAATGGGCAAGAATGTCACTGCTTCTCTGTGCACGTTAGCTCCCTTCCTTCCCTTTAAAAACAAGTAAACTTTCCTTCAGTATCTTATCTGTTTGCTCTGGTGCAGAGGGAAGAGGATTCTGGAAGGTTAAAGTAACCTGTAACTGTCGTATGGCTAGACCAGGAGATTGGTGCTTATTTCTAAGGCCTTTTAAGGAACATTAAATTTGCTTGAAATAAAATAGAGAATCCACTATGTTTCTGTAATGTAAATACCTAATTTCTCTGTGGAGATGTTTTGAACCTTCACCAACTGATGCTATTTTGAGCACTAGCCAGAGGCCTCAGGGATCCTCTATTTAAAAGCAGAGCTTATGCACAGAGCCATGTGGCCCCCATGGCCTAGGTCGAAATGACCACTGTAAACTTGTCAGCCAGAGAATATGATAAAATAAATTAGTCTCAGCGTCAGGGTCTCCTCTCCCAAAGGGCCTGCTACCGTAGAGACCAGATGTACGAGTGGGCGAGGCAAGGTCTTGAGGAGGGTCTTCTAGAGACAGTGAGTGTCAACAAGACAATCCTCAGAGACAAAAGCCCAATCTCCGTGTTTCTCTCAGATTAGCCAACAGTTCCGATGAGCCCCATTTGAATAGACTTTACAGTTTGTAAAGGTCTTCTTAAGCTTGTTCTCTGGATTTTAATAGCTCATAGGAGGTGGTTTTGCCATTGTCACTGTATAGACAGCGTTCCTGGAGCCTCAGAGCTGTTGGGAGCCTCTGTGGCTCACTGTGACTTCATGAAGGAGGACATGCACCCCATGACCATTGCATTCTAGTGCAGTGTCTCCACTCCACTGGCGGCTGAGTCTCCAAAGCTCACTCACCACCGTCCTGGCTGTGTGCGCATGGTGGAGGTGTCTCCATTTCTTTTCAGCAGCTCATGGAATTGAATCACTTGACTCCAGGATGGAATTTTGGATGCTCAACAGGTCTCCCCGTGTATCCAGTGTCAGCGGTCTCATTGCTTTGAGATTCTGTAATTGGCCAGCACCAAAGAAAATGGGGGCATCCCAAATTATTGCAAGGACTTGGTCAGTGCAGGCAGTTGATGGAATAGTTCTCATCCTATAAAGTTGGCTCTGTGTATAGGCTTTCAGATATGCCTCTGAGCAAGTTCAATCTTCCAAACTTGCCTGGTTCACCTCTATGACCAAGTCTTCTTGGCCATTATTCTGTTTGCGTCAAGGCCATCTTGACCCCTGGGCCACCATAAAATGATGGGGACCTTTGCCCTGTGGAATTCTCTGGTTGGTGGTAGAAGATGTGAATAGTCAGTTTCGATGACGTGTGTGTTATCTGAAGAGGACTTTGGTGGTAAGTCAAGGACATTCATGGTTTGTTTCCTCCTCCAGGTTTCTCTGGGAATTGTGTTGGCTGTGGAAAGAAAGGCTTTTGTTACTTCACGGAATTCTCCAATCACATAAACCTTAAGCTGACCACTCAGCCCAAGAAGCAGAAACACTTGAAGTATTACCTGGTCCGTAACGCACAAGGGGCTCTAACCAAAGGACCTCTCATTTGTTGGAAAGGCTCAGGTGAGCAGTTCAGCTCCAAAGGGCGTGGGGTGTGTGAAGGGGCTGTCCTCCAGGTGAGCCAGGTGCCCGTCAGCCAGGCTTTGGGGAGAGATGGCCATAGAGCAGGCAAGGTGTGAGATCAGCCCTGTGAAACTAAAACGGCACTTGCATTACAGGTGTTCAGCCTAATTGTATGGGCCATTTAAATGTTGACAGAGGGCCACACTGTGCCTTCTTGTGGCAGGTATTTGGGGAAGAGGTTCTCAATCGAGGGGATTTTGTCTGGAGACATTTTTGATGATTATGACGGGAGAGTCCTACTGGCATCCCGTGGGTGGGGGGCAGGGATGCTGTTAAACATCTTACAGTGTACAGGATGGCTCCCCACAGAGAATTATGCAGTCCAAAATGTCAGTGGTGCAAGGTTGAGAAACCCTGATTTAGAGAAAGCTTGGCTGGAATGATGTCCCCGCTCCCCACCCTGAACCCAGCTCACAGGATGGTCCTTGACGCAGTGACGGGCCTCCACTGCCCGCTTCTCTGCCTCCCCTGTATGGTGCATGGCTACAGTCAGCCATGAAGGGAAGAGGCAGGGGGTGGATTTTAGAGGTTCAGCCTCCAGTGCTCACAGATACTCCCACTTAACCGGTGTGGAGGGGTTCTCAGTGAGATGACCAGGAGAACTAGCCTCTGTCCCTACTTACCTGTGTCGGTTCACTGCTGGTCGCCTGGACTCTCCCAGCCAGCTTCAGTGGCCTTCAGGAGGGGCTGGCTCTGGGCGTCCCCCTGTCTACCTCTCCCACTGCTCTTTTCCTTCCCCTCCCCTTTTCTTACATCACTCAATAAATATTTCTTGAGTTCCTATTATGTGCCATTTCCTAGGTCCTGGGGAGGCAGTGGTTCTTTCCCATGTGGGACCAGTTAAGAGTCTTTGATCATTTGCTGTGACCAAGTACCTCACAGGTTAGATATGTCACTGGGACAGAGGGTGACTCATGGGATGGAGGAAGGTATTGCTTATTCTTTTACCTTTGAGTGATGCTCTGTTCTTTCCTTGGACTTGAAGGACAGTGATTGGATGACCCATTATATCATGTTTTTCTCTTTTCCCCAAATGCGCACTATTGCTGCCACTCCTGACAGAACTGTCCCTCAGGCAATCCCCTTGCCCTTGGCATGGTTAACATCCCTGTCCCCTGGCTACACTGAAGCCAAGACCAGGCTGGCACCATTATGGTTATGTGCATACCTAGCTCTCCTGCAGGACAAATCCCAGCCTAGGAAACCTTCTCATGCCTGGCGGGAGTAGTGGGTTCTCATGCACACATCTTCCCCCCAGAGTTCCGAGGCCGGCAGCCCCCCGCCGGCTCCTGCTCCGGGTCTCTCTTCCTGCCGCTGGACAGCTCCGGGCCTCCACCTGCCTCCTCCAGCGAGCCCACTCCTGGTGCGAACCCGAGCATCCCCACGGGAACCCAGCAGGCAGGTGAGGCGATGGAGCAGCTGCATAGGTGCTGACTCCACGGGCCTGGTGTGCCAGCAGCGTGGCTGCTCGATTGGGCCCCCAAACGTCAACATAAATAGGGGTGTTCGCTTTTACTGCAATGCCTTTGCTTTTCATCTTGAATTGGGAATGCTGTGTTTTGTTTGGAAAGGTGTTCTGCAGTCCTGTTTGCTATGTCACGTGACCCCCCTGGTTTGTGGGATGGGGTGTTAGGATGCCTCTGTACCCCCACTTTGCAGCCTAGAGCTTGCTGTGTCATGGGCACTAAGTCAGTGCTAGACCTGAGCTCATGGATGGGGCAGAGCGACCAGACAGGGTTCTTTGTCGTGTGCTCAGCACTCCCTAGCTGTGTGTGTGTGTGTATCTTGCCGAACCCCAGCAAGCCCCCTGCGAGCAGGCTTTCGCTTCCCTGTTGTCCTGACTGGGAAAGTGAGGCTCGCTGGTGCTTGCCTCGGTCCTTGGCTGGGATCTGCCGCGCAGCAGACAGCCGAGTCAAGGCTTGACAGCGGGTATTTCTGGCTGATGTGCTTGGCGTTTTTCCATCCTGAGCAGACCTGATAAGCGTGGTAGCTGTTATCACAGTAGGTAGCAGCCTTCTCAGGGACTTGGGGTTTCCTCACTCCTGCCCACAGGGTTTGTAGAGGGGCCTGGAGAGGGGGTGCCAATGCCCTTGCCCCCGCCTGGTTCATCACATCTGTTACAAAGAGGTTGCACCTGGGCTGGGAACATGGTGTCCTCCAGAGGCACCAGGCTTCCCTTTCCGCATGGTGTATCTGCCATGGTCACCACTACACCCATGGCAACTGGAGAGACCAGTGTGTTTGCCATCAGCGTGCCCGGGAGTAACTCCCAGCACTGTTGCCTTCTAGCTGGGCGATTTGGGGTAACTCGTTTAAACTCTTTGAGTCTCCATTTCCTCATCTGTAAAGTTGAAGAAGATATTTTCTGTCCAATTTGCAGCTTTGTTTAAGAGTTAAGTAAGATTATAGTAACAGCAAATACTTAGTGCTTCCTGCCTGCCAGGTGCTGTTCTCTGGACTTCTGCTAACTCATGTCATCCTCACAATGGCTCTGTTATGACCCCTGTTTAATGGATGAGGAAGTTGAAATAGAGGGAGATTAAGGGAGGTCACACAGCTCATGCAGTGAGCCCTAGAAGACCAGAACCCATAATGTCCCCAGAATTACCCTTAGACCTGGGAGCCCCAGTCCCTGTGAGCAGCCTGGACCTGGGCGACCACACACCTGACAGCTCCCCTGAGCATGTCTGATACAAACCTGAACTCTGGAGGGTGAAAGAGCAGGCAGAAGGAAGGTGGAACGGTTTTAGGGCTGTCCTGGAGTTCAGGGGGCCCACTGGTCACTCAGGTCCCCCTGGTCCTTCTGTCACCAGGAAGCACTCACTGGCGCACAGCAGGAGCATGTGTGCACGTGTTCACATGTGTGTGCACGCGTTCACACGTGTGTGCGCACATGTATGTTTGTTGTGTTTTCTCAGGGGCAGTGTCACTGAGTCTGACCTCCTGATGGGACTTGTCAGTGAGGAGCTAGTTTGTAAAAATGGAAGGAAAGTAATTTCCTGCTTGCCGGGCTCACAGAGCGTCCTGTGAACTGACCCTACTCTGTTACTCTTTCTTGTTGCTCAGGACCAGCCTCGGACCACCCCTCACTAACCGCAGCAACGGGCCCCGCTGTTTTCAACGGCAAAGATTCCCCGAAGCACCAACAGCTGGCGAAGAGCAAGCTGTCGGCCGTGCCACGGCCCTCGGCCCTAGGTAGCGTGGCGGTCCCGGGGCTCCTCCCTTCTCTGAGTCAAGGCGTTGGTTGGGGAGACGTGGGAACCGTCGTGCTGAGGTCACCGAGCCTCCTGGAGTTGGTGTTGCTTGGACGGAGGGTCCAGCCAGGTCAGCAGATGCCTCCTGAGTCTGTGGGGCTGTGCCTGAGTCCTGGCGCTGGTGACGTGTGCATGCCAAGGAGCAGTGGGAACCTGTCCTGAGGCAGGTGACCTGTCTCATTGTGGGCCACGTACTGGGAGGGCTGTAGGGTTCTGGAAAAATAGGGGACAATGTGGTATCATGCGAAGCACATCAGATAAATATAAATCCAAAACCCAGCTCTCAGAGTTGGGGGATCTTGGACAAGTCTTATGGCTAAATGTTCCCTCATCTGGAGATAAGAATTCCTCTCGGGGCAGTTGAGAGGATCAGATGAGGTGCTGAATGGAAAGTCAGGACACATCTGGCAGCTCACGAAGGGACACCTTATTGCCACCCACGTCATCATCATCGAGCCAGTTTGTTCAGGGAGGGCTTCCTGGAGGAGGTGACACATGAACTGCAGGTGACAGGTGGGGAAGCATTACTTAGAGATTGTACGGGAGGAAGTGAGGAAGAGGGACGAGGAGCTGAGGACCCAGATGAGCAGGAGGTGAAGGCAGGGGTTAAGTAGACCCCCTGCTGGAGCAGAGGCTGTGGGCTGAGGAAGAGTTGGCGGAAGAGCAGGGACCCAGCTCTCCAACTCTGAATTCAGTGCTGTCCCCTCCGTACTTGCCAGGAGCCTTTTCAGAGGCCAGGTCCTCCATCCTTCATGCACGTGGTTAAACGGCACTTAGGGACCCGAGACTGGGGACACTGGGAGAACCTTTAGAAATCGTCTGGTCCAGCACTGTTTTGCAGAGGAGGCAAGAGAGGCCGAGAGGTGACCAGGCCTGGAGTTGGGGCTTCCTGCTTCCGTGGCGCGGCCGGCGGAGGACTTCCCTGGTGGGAATCTTGAGAATTGTCTCCCTCTGAGTTGAAGGAACAGTGTCTTTTCTGAATGAAATCTGAGATACCCCAGTCCTAACCCACGTTCCCTTCTGGAACCTGAGGCCAGGCCTTTGTCACTTCCCGGTGTGCGGCACCTCAGGCAGGTGCCCGCTTTTCTTCCTGTGGCTGCTTCTCATTTAGGGTGGCCGTGTGGCCGCGGTCTGGGTCCCTGGGGACGGTGATGGGAGGCCTGTGCTGTTGGTGCCACCCTCCCTGCGCCGAGGTCTGGACATGTTCAGCCTTCACCCCACACGGCAGGGAACAAGGGCCTCCCTCGGCCTGGGCCCTGCGAGGCTGGGTCTCGGAGCCTCCTCCTGTGGGGATGAATGCGCACCCCTTGGTGGGGTGTGGGAAGCAGAGAGCCCCTGGGTCCCTAGTGTGGCCCTCAAGCCCTTTTGGAATCTGGCCCCGACCAGCCGGCTGTGTCTGTTTGAGAACTCCCTGTCTGGCTGCACTGGACACAGGTGCCCTTCTGTCTCCAAACCCTGGCCACACATCTGTGCACCTGCAGGGTTCTCCCCACCCACCTGCTAAACCTGCCTTTCCGAGCTTAGCGGGTGTCACCTCCTCCCTGCAGGAGGGCTCCCTCCCTGGGACCACCAAGAGTCAGTCTCAGTTCTATGGCCATTTGTGTCTGTCGGGCTGGTGAAGAGAAGGCCATTGTCATACGCAGCTTGGGGCCCCTGGTGCCCATGGAGCCCAGCACAGAGGGGCTCAGTGGATGCGGCAGAATGAGTTACCTTGTTGAAAAGCCCAGCAGAAGGGTGGCAGGTCCCATGCCTTCCCGCCTGCTCTGGGGACAGCCGAAATCAATGTGAGGAAATTGCTTCCGAAACTATTACAAGGAGTGTTTAACGAGGGCTGGAAGGCAGTTACCCAGTGGTTCTCAGTGGTGAAGTGATGCCCCCTGCAGGGTTGGGGTACAGGAGCCTTCGCTGGTTGTCCCAGCCCCGGGGTGGGAGGGGGGTCAGGATGCTCAGTGTCCTGCAATGAGTGGGCTTCATGATGCTCGTCCCACCCCAAATGCCAGGTGCCCCTCCCCCACCAGGAGACACTGCGAGAAATAGCTGGTCCACCTTGGTACCACAGGGTCAGCTCCTGGTGACTTCACTTTGGGAGCGTTTATGAGCTTAGAGCCCACTTAGAGGCAGTTAGGGTCAGCGTCCCAAAGGGAGAAATTATCTGTAGACCTTCCATCCTTAGTACCGAGGCCCAGTCCCCACGCTGGCAATTTGATATAGTTTTTAGAGGTGCAGGTGTCTTAGTCTTTGTGGGGGCTCTTCCGTTGGCACTGGAGGATGGAAGTTTGGGGAGTCGGAGATGTGGTCTAAGTGGCGCAACAGCAGGAGCTGCCTCAAAGGTTGTGTGTGTGTGTGTGGGGGGGGGGCGGGCACTGAAGGGCCCTCGTTTGAAAGCTCTTTGTAAACAAAGTACTTTATGTTTTTAACTCTTCATTCACTTTATTTTATTCATTTTCAATCAGTCTAAAGAAGAGGTGAAAAAGAATTTTGGATTCCTTTTCAGAGACCAAAGCAATCCTTCACAAACTGCAGTGTGCTTGGGCCTAACTGGGGTGCTTGTGAAGTGGCGTTTTCTTGCTCTCATTTCTAGAGATCCGATTTTGTAGTTTGAAGCGGGGACCCAGACGAGACAGATTTAACAGGCCCCTGATGGTCCTGTCAAGCTCCTTCTCAGGCCAAACTTAGAGAAATGTTGCTGTAAACCACGGTTCTCAGCCCTGGGGACTGGGCAGTTGCGAGGATCAGACCAAGTGCCGTAGACTCACCAGGGAACCCAGGGGTCACCAGCCTGCTTGCTCCCCTCCCCCCACGAGATGCTGGGGTCTTGGCTTACTTGGGATGGGGGATAGAGGCTTTTAAAAGTTTCCCAGATGAGTTTAATATGCAGTCAGGGTTGAATATATAGTTCTAAATGTAGGGGAAGTTTCGTGTCAAAATTTCAAAAAAGGCAACCAATTCTTGATATTTTGAATAACCCAGGAACATAGCATGAGTCATGAGCATGTTATCATCTAGTGTGGGCAGGATGACTCGTTGACAGCAGTGGGTACCAGCTTCTGTGTCCCTTGATTTTTTCAGTCTGAAAATTAGCTTTCACGGCCACGGTGGGGAGAGGAGCACGGGTGGGTCAGTACTGCCCCCAAGTGGTGAAACTGTGGTGGTGACGACTGCTGCCTCTTGTCTACAGAAACACGTGTTAATATGCAGCGTGATCACAAAATACGGTGACTGCTGCTGCCGAGTGCCATCCAATGGAAAGGCAGGGATATTCAATACGGGAAGCGGCACATTGAGTCTTAGTAACAGTGTGTGACAAGTTTCAACTTGTTTGGTCCAGCCGGGTGTGAGCTATGGTTGAGAGTGTGTTTTAAAGTGTGTCGTAAATCATCCTCCATCGTGACAATGCTCCGGGTCACACATCACTTCTGGTATACCGCAATTTCTGTAAAATAAAAACAGTACGGTGTGTCCTCATCCACCTTATTCACTGGATTTGGCACCATGTGACTTCTGGCTCTTCCCCAAAGTCATAATGATTCAGGACATGGAGGCAGCCACGACAGCACAACTAAAGACACTCACGAAAGAGGATTTCCAGAGCTGCTTCAGAAACTGGCAAGAACAATGGAATAAGTGTGTTCAAAGTGAGGGGAAGTATTTTTAGGGGGATGAATGGCAATGTGTCTTTTACTATAATAAATTTTTTTAAACTTAAACATTCACAGTATTTTTTGATCACATCGCATATATTGGAATGTGAGATGATGATGATGGTGGTGATGGTGATGGTGATGTGGGTCTTGGTCACTACCACTTATTGGGCCCAAACTCTGTACTTTACATATATTCTCTTTAGTCCTGGTCAAAGTACCTTTCAGAGTAGGTTTTATTGTCCCATTTTAAAGATGAAGGATTTAAGGCCCCAAGATGAAGCTTGACACCCGTACAACGTTGGAATGAAGCATTTACAAAAATCGACTGTTTCCTTATCCCTAGATACTAAACTGGATGCTAAAACCCATTGTAAATTCTGATTTTAAAAAATACAACAAATAAGTGTTCTACAAATCAGGGGAATGTTTTATTGAAACTCAGCCCTAGTGACAGCCTAATCCATGCTCTGAATGTTGTCTAGGTATCTTATCAAACTCCGGGCCCCCCAAAAAGCGCCACAAAGGGTGGTCTCCAGGATCTCCATCAGCTACAGATGGTGGCTACTCCCAGGGTGGTGGGAACAGAGCTAAGTATGGTAAGTGACAACAACCTTGCCCCAAATCCAAGAATCGGGTGCTAGTGGGGGCAGTGCTGCTGGTGGGGGGCAGTTGTGAATGTGTGTGTGCTTTTGTGTGTGTTGGTGAGAAAATACGAGGGAGGCCAACTTTGGTACAATGAAAGGCTGTCTTTCTCCTGTATTAGAGTTGCTTAACAACATCCAGGATCCCTGCACAGTAGTGAGTTCCCTGATCCTAAAGGAATTTACAAAAGGGCTTGCTTATTACTTGGCAGGGATATTGAAGAGAAGACTGGGTCATTTGATGGGGGAGGTTGGACTGAGTGCCATTAAAAATGCTTCTGACCTCAGGAATCTGTGATTCCAAGACGGGTGCTCCGTAGATAGGGTGTAAGGGTCAAGTTGTAGCAGATTTGTTGCCCAGCCTGACATCAGGTCTGCTGGAGATGAATGCCTTATCTGTGTGTCTTCCTAACACTCTTGGCGTGTCCCTAGAGAGCGCAGGCATGTCCTACATGCCCCAGGTTGGCTTGGTGGGACCAGCTTCAGTTACCTTTCCTGTTGTGGCCTCCGGAGAACCAGTGTCCGTTCCCGACAACTTGCTGAAAATATGCAAGGCCAAGCCAGTGATATTTAAAGGCAAGTACAGTTCAAGAAATGGTGGGGGTGGGGGAACCTCACCCAGACACCATTCCAGGCTGACTCCAGTCTGAGCAAACTTTAAAACCCTTCCCAGGGCCGTGAAAGAGCTAAGCGGACCTGTCATGGGGTAGCCCCCGTGTCAGAGGCCAGGAGTTACAGAGCTTGTCACAGTTTCCTCAACAAGTCTGTTCCATCCTGTCCATTTGCTTGTTCATTTGTTCTGTCCTCCATTCAGCCAACCTGATCAAGCTCCTGCCGCGGTAACAGACCGAGTGCTAAGAACCAAGGGCTAGAGGTGGGTCTTTGGCCCACCTGCTGATTTATCAGACCAGGAGCCCTCACCTGGTGGGTTGTCCTGTTGTCACCCTTTGCCACTAGTGTTTTTTTTACTATGAAGTCTGACTTTGGTTGGGCAAATATAGCCATGGCCACCATGTAGAAGCATAACACAAAACTAGATTTTATCTCTGTTTTGTGTCAGTGGGCGAATTCATGTGTGCTATGTGCAGGTAGATTTTGGGTTTAAGTAAAGGAACTCCTATTTCTAATCAAGGGAGAGACCTTGAAATGTGAGGACTCGGCAGGACTTGTTTGATGATGGCATTTGCTGGTACCGTGTGCTGGCTTATAGTAACACATGCGGCACACACACGTGCACACACACACGTCACACAGTAAGATCCTTCTTAAGTAAGTCAATACTGTATTTGGTATTACGTTTGTAGGAATAGAGGAGAGGGGGTGGTAGGAAAGTGGGAGAGGTATCTTACTCTTAATTAAGAAATAAGAAAGGACACTTTGCTCTTATTAAAGGGCAAGCCAAACAGTGAACAGGGTATTCCGGAAGTAGGATGCAAATCTGGGTTTTGAACTGGGTGCAAAGCAGGGCCTATCATCCCATTGGACCCTGGTGGCTAACAAAAATAAAGGTCAATGTTCAGTCGTGTTGCATGTATTATTTGCATGGCCATTATCTGTGGTCCGCCCTGAGAACAGTGTTGAGAGAACAGCACACGGCAGGGTACCGGGCTTGGTGAGGACAGGGCCACACCTGTACCCACTCTGAGTATCTAGGAGCCTCAGAAAGGACGGGGCGGGGGCCTGGCAGACCTGCGTCTTTAATGACAAACATCACATCCTTCCTCTTATAGTAATTCTTTATGTTGCCTCCTATAAGCCAGAATTGTAAGCAGTGCCACCCAAATTGTGGTCCCTGGTCCAGCAGAACCAGCATCACCCAGGACCTTGTCAGAGATGTGAATCCCCAAGCCCAGCCCCGAATCAGAATCAGGCCCCATATTCTTGAATCAGAAGCTCTGGTGGGGTCCGGCAATCTGTGTTTTAGGGAGCCTTTCAGGGGGCCCTCCTACACCCTCAGGTTAGAGGAGCAGTTTCCTGGAGGACATGACCTGTCTCTCAGTCACCAGGTTTCCCCCCAGAGCTGAGCGTGATGCTACACATAGCTCACAGCCGGCATTCAGTGTGTTTGGTGAAGAACTGGAGGCCTTCCGAGGTAGACCACACACACACGTGCTCATCTCAGCAACCCCATGAGGATTTCATAGCTTCACCCCATTTTACAAATGTGGAGACTGAGGTTTAGAGAAGTTAAGCTTCTTGCTTAGGGTCACATAGGTCACGAATGGTGGAGAAGAGATTTGAACCCAGCTGGCCTGGGCTCTTCCACCTCTGAGAGTCATCGTCAGAATTAATCTTGTCACGCTGGCTAAAGCATTTGTCATGTCCTGTCAGTATGCAGGGTCTCTGGTCTGAACAATGATTCGTTTTCCTGATTCAGCTTGTCAGAGTTCTGGGAGGATCCAGGCCCAAGCCAACAGGGAGCCGTCAGGGAGCCGCGGGCTGGCAGACAGCCTGGCAGAGATCCGGAGGCGTCACCCACACGGCGTCCTAGAGTCAGGGCTGCAGGAGCAGCCCAAGGGCTGGCTGTCCAGCTTCAGGCACTTCTCTCTGGGCCTTCGCGTGCTCACCTGTAAAAATCAGGGCTTGGACTAACTGAACAAGCAAATGCTGCCGCCCCGGTCAGGTACCAGAGCAGGGGCACTACATCAGCAAGGGCTGGAAGGCTGAGATTTCCCCCCAAAAGAGCACTTATGGCACCCCAGAGGCCACGCACCTGCACACTTTAGCTCTCTCCATTCAGAGATGCACACTCGTGGGGCCCCATGCTGTGCCCGAGGCCAGTCGCCAAGCGGATGCTGTCAGCGGATGCTGTCCTTTCTCCACAGGCCATGGGAACTTCCCTTACCTGTGCGGGAACCTGAACGATGTGGTCGTGAGCCCGCTCCTGTACACGTGCTACCAGAACTCCCAGTCCATCTCCCGAGCGTATGAACAATATGGGGCGGCCACAATACAGCCCATCTCGGAGGAGACACAGCTCTTGCTGACCGTCTACTACCTCGTCCAGCTGGGTGAGTCTCCCTCCCCTTTTGTGGGACCCTCTGGTCAAATAATTGCTGAAGGTGCCAAGTGCACATACCTTCATCACTGACCGTCACTGAGCCCTTGTGAAGACTGGCTCTGGCTGGTGGAAATGAAATACAGAGACCATGCTGACAGATGTTATCAGGTCACTGCAGTGGTCACCACCGGGAGGGACTGGGAAAGGCTTAAAGAAATTCAAAATCTATAGAGATAATTCAAAAATGATTTACCTGCCAAGAGTTGAGTGAGGACTGATTATTGGCTGTTGGGTTTGGGCATATGAAGTGATTGACAACCCTGATGGGTTGTGTATGAGGAATGTGGGGACAAGAACCATTTGGGAGGGGGTTAGAGAAAATGGAGGTGGGAAGACGTGTGCACAACTCTCCCAGGGAGCTTTGCTGGGTGGTGGTGGTTCTGGAAGGAGACGTGGGCTCAGGGGAAAGATTTTAAGGATGAGAACTGTAACGGCTAGTCTAATCAAATTTTGACAAAGCCCAATGAGTGAATGGTGTGATCCCCATTTTTTCACACCAGGAAACTTTATTGTAAGAGAGCTCAAGGCTCCGAAGCTGGTGCTGGGTGGAGCTGGATAGGAACACATCTTCTAAATCGAAGTGTGGTCTTTCCTCCAGCTCGCCCACATACAAAATTTGGACATACAAACCAAAAGATACCCATAGGAAACAAATGTTGAGAGTACAGCTGACTCTTGAACAAACATTGGGGAGGGGAGTTTGGGGCACCGTCCATCTGCGCAGTGGAAAATCTACATATAACTTGTCAGCCCTCTGCATAGCATATGCGGATTCCCAGCCACAGATTGAAAATAGTATTCAATCTTACTAGTCATGAAAGAGATGCAAACTAGGAAATCAAACAAGTAAAAATGTTCTCAATTAAATTATTGATAACAGCCCAGATAATGGTATCCAGTGGAGCTGAGTGCAGTAAAACCAGTATTATCTCGTGCCATTAATGTCATGGTAAGTTGACATATTTAGACCTTCTATTGTGGAAACGGTCTGCTGATATGTATTAGTTGGCTCTGTAAGCCCACTTTTGAGCATTTAGGCTGAGGACATTATGTTCTGTACATAAAGATGTGTATTGCGGGAGTATTTACAAAGGTGATTCTTTGAGAGCAATACAAAGACCAATAGAGACATTGCTCAGTAAATGATGGTGCCTCCGTATCATGGGACGGCGTGTACCCACTAACAGTGCTATTTGTGAAGACCATAAACATCATGGAAACGTGATTACGGTGTGTTGGGAAGTAGGCAAGCCCTGAAGTTGTATGCCCACAACCCTTACTGCTATTTAAAACCTGCACATGAGAAGGAAAAAAAAAAAAAGACTGAGAATTACACAAAAAGTAGTTGTGTTTCTGTTAGGATGGTGAGATTATGGCTGCTTTCATATTCCTCCCTATATTTCTCAGCTGTCTGTAACGCGCTGTAGCATAAATAATATAGATTGTGTTGGTTTTCAATCAGCGTGCATGCATTTCCCCAGAACTGCCCCGTTGTTTTTTTTATAAAGCCACCCTGTGGGGCGCACGGGGCAGGTGCTGAAGCCTCTTCCGCCCTCCTTGTCGTTGCCAGCCGCCGACCAGGTGCCGCTGATGGAGGACCTGGAGCAGATCTTCCTGCGCTCCTGGCGCGAGTCGCACCTGACGGAGATCCGGCAGTACCAGCAGGCGCCTCCGCAGCCCTTCCCGCCGGCGCCCAGCGCGGTGGCGCCCGTCACCTCGGCACAGCTGCCCTGGCTGGCCGGCCTGGCCGCCAGCTCCTGCAACGACAGCGTGCACATCATCGAGTGCACCTACTCCCTGGCCGAGGGACTCTCCGAGATGTTCCGACTGCTCATCGAAGGCAAGCTGGCCAAGACCAACTACGTGGTGATCATCTGCGCCTGCCGGAACGCCGCCATCGACTCCTGCATCGCCGTCACTGGTGAGGCCCGCGCCTGCGCCACCTGGCTGGTGGAGAAGCAGCCGTGTTGATGTCGCAGCCTTCCGCTCTTGGCGCTTCCTCCCTTTGGCCTCCTGAGGCCCCGCGTTTGCAGCAGCATTTGGGTAGCAACTGTAGGGAGTGCCCGGTAGCCCTCCTGGTGCCAGCCACTCATGCCCTGGAGTCTGCTTGGTTAAAATTCCATTGCTCCTGTGACGGAAGGCGAGCAGTTCCCATTTCCCCACTGAGAGAATGGGGGATACAGGAGTCAAGTCCCTGCTTTCCTGGAGCATGCGCTGTGGTCTGGGAGACACCAAATCCAGCTCAGAACCTCGCAGGAGGGATGGAGGGATGGAGGATTGCAGTTAGGGGTTCTGGCATCTAAGCCGGGGTCAGTCAGGATTACCCTTTTCATGGGGTGTCATTAGAGCAGGGACCTGAGAGAAATGAGGAAGCAAATGATACCAACATTGGGGGCGGCTGCAGGGCTCCCCGAGACCAGGTGGCAGCATCCCATACTTGTCCTGGTGAAGGGACAGCAGGACAGCCAGGGCAGAGGACAGGACTGGGGGACTATGTAGGGCCCTGATGGCCATGTCAGAACTTTGGATTTTTCCCTGTGTGAATTAGGAAACCATTGGAAGGTTTTGACCAGAGAAGAGATGTAATCTGACTTTTGTTTTAGAAGGATCACTCCATTTGTGTGTGGAGAATCGACCGGGAGAGCCGCATGACTAGGGAGGAGGCTGCTGGATTTGTCCAGGCATGGCCACGGCTTGGATTAGGCTGGCGGAGGTGGAGAGCAGTGGCCTGTTCGGGTGCATTTTGAAGTTGGTGCCTTTAGGGTTTGCTGATGGGTCTGTGTGGAGTGTGGGGGGAAGCGAGGACTCCCGGACGACCCTGTGAAGTTTGGCCTGTGTAGCTGGAATGACACAGTTACCATCTATTGATATGGGAAGAACTGCAGAAGTGTCTGTTTTGTTTAAAAATTTTTTTTAAATTTTATGGAGGGAAGAGGTGGCAGTGGAAGTCAGAATAGAATCAACAGTTCTCTTTAACTAGCTTGGCCTAGGTTTCAAGTATCCAGTGGCCATGGTGGGCAGGCAATTGGATATAAAAATCTGATGTTCAGAGCAGAGTTGGGTCTAAAGATTAAGGGAGTTGTCAGCATTTATGGGTTTCGAAGCCAAGAGATGGATGCCATGACCCATCCTGCAAGTGGACAAGGAAAGAAGGGGTCTGAGGACTAATAAAAGATAGAAAAAACAGAAAAGGAGGCCTGAGAAGAGGAGAGGGAGAGAATGGTGTTTAGGAGGCCAGGGGGGGGGGCGGCGTGTGTTACAGGAAGGAGGAGATGACGAATGGGTCAGATGCTCCTGTTTGATGAAGTAAGTGGAGGACTGAGAATTGGCCCCTCCATCAGTCAGCAGGATGGTCATCGGGGCCACTGACAAAGAGTGTCTCGGAGAGGTGGTGGGGATGAAGGTGTCATTGGGTCAGACTCGAGAGAATAAACAAACTAACAAATACAGACCTACTTGAGAGATTTTGCCTTAAAAGGAATAGAGAAATGAGATAATTGGAGAGGGAATGGGATCAGGTTTTTTTTTAAGTGGGGAAATGGAAGAGTATGTTTAATACTAGGAATGATGCGACAGAGACGGAGAAATGGATGAGGCAGGCGAAGGAGGCGATAGTTAGAAATGTCCATGAGCAGGAGAGGGGCTGGGCTGCAGCGCACAGGTGGAGGTGTTGACCCCAGACAGGTGTATGGTGGTTCTGAGCGTATGGGAGACAAGTCAGTGGTGGGAGGCTTTTCTCCAGCCATGTCCAGCAGCTCGGGCACCAGTCTTTAACCAGTGAGAGTGGGGCAAGGCTGTTGAGGATGGATGCTAGGGAGTGTCTATGGATAGACATGGGATCTCAGTCAGGGAGGAGGGGTGTGAGGACAGGAAGGGAATGAAGGCAGGGAAATGTCCAGGAGGCTCCACGGTGAGAATTCTTAGTATGCTGTGTCAGAGGTGGTTGGAGGTGCAGTGCTGAAAGTGAAGGTTATTAAAGGGCATAGTTATCAATAGTAACCACAGGTGTGCCTGTGGTTGCAGGTGGGTGACAGGAAGTAGAGACAGCTCCTTGGAAGAAATCAGATGTATGTATTATGCAACTTTTATGTGCCGGCTCGGTCCTTTGTGGGTATTGTCTTGTTATTCTGGACAGTAACTCATGAATTCATTCTGTCAGAGCAATGCGAATGCCTAATTCCCAACTTCATCTTTTAGTTAAAAGCACACACACAAAATTCTTTTTTTCTTTTTTTTTTTTTTCAGATTTTTTTTTTAATAGGGGAATTGTTGGGTGGGGGGGTGACAGCATTGGGGAATCGGGGAAGGGGAACAGACAAGTTGCTGTCCTTTTGTTCTACAGCCTAGTTGTGGAAGACGTCGCTTCAATGGCCCATGTTGGTATTATCATTGTGCTCTTCCCGGGTGAGGCATTCGCTCGCTGGCCATTGGATGGCCACTTATGGCGGCTCACGGCAGCTCACGAAAGCTCATACCAGCTGCCGGCCAGCCCCACTTCAGCCTACCCCATCCCCAGCAACTCACGGCAGCCCAGCTCCAGGTCGAGCTGTTGTTCACCATCTTAGCTGTAGAGGG